ATATATATATATATATATATATATATACACACACACACAAATATAAAATGTATTTTATATATATTTTCAGTTTTTAAGATTATAGATTCTAGAGACTACATGAAATATTTACTTTTAACAATTATTTATTTATTTGTCACACCACATGACTTTTTAAGTGAACTACAAACTAAAAGGTGGATAAAAATGGTGAAAAAGAAATGGTGACCCATCATAACACCTAAAATACACTTACATTACACATACATATAAATTACAACCTAAACCTTTAAATAAAATATCTTCATGTCTGTGTTGTTTTGTCAACCACCCATATTAAGAGTATAAGTAACAGTATAATTCTCTTCTTGTGTTATAGTATTTTCCGGTGTATTTGAATAGGGATAATGATAAATTTTCTCTATTTGTGTTCTAGACGTATATTAAGAGCATGGATAAGGATTTTGTGGCGGCCAGCATTCAGGCCATTGGTCGCTGTGCTACAAACATCGGTGAGGTCAGAGACACCTGTCTGAACGGACTCGTACAGCTGCTGTCCAACAGAGACGGTGAGACTATGTGGATTGCTAGATGGAGCGCAAGGAAATGCAACAGAACTATTTTAAATGCCCACACTGCCATTAATTATCCATAAAGTGAGAGCCACTTAGGCAGACATCAAACGTTGTTTGCTCCGATCTCAGATGAGGTTCTTACCATGCAAAAGAAGAAAAATATGAGCCTCTGACTTTGTAACATGTTACTGTAAATCCATTTGAAATGCACTTGAAACTGGTCTATCATATGCTGTAAAAGAACAGCAAGGCGCAATGCAGTGGCCAAAGACGTCTGTCAGATAATGTTGAGTAATATTCAGTGTGTGTGTGTGTTTGTTTGTTTGTTTGTGTGTGTTTTCAGAGTTGGTTGTGGCTGAATCGGTGGTGGTGATCAAAAAGCTTCTGCAGATGCAGCCTGAACAACACAGCGACATCATCAAACACATGGCCAAACTCATTGACAACATCCAGGTAGAGTTGTGATCTAAACTACCTATTTTCACGTTTCAAACAGACTCTGTAGTCCTGATTATGTGTGTGTGTATCAGGTGCCCATGGCCCGAGCGAGCATCCTGTGGCTGATCGGAGAATACTGCGAACATGTCCCCAAAATCGCCCCTGACGTCCTGAGAAAGATGGCCAAAACCTTCACTAACGAGGAAGATATTGTCAAGCTGCAGATTATCAATCTGGCTGCCAAACTGTACCTTACTAACTCAAAACAGGTGAGGCGACAGACGGGGTTATGGCCAGTTTTACAAAAAAGCAGTGTTACTTAATATTATTTATTATTAAAATATTATAGTTTTTTATTAATTTTTTTAATGAGCTTTTATTTTGATATTTTCAGTTTTCAGTTTTATTTTAGTGATTTTTTTTAAAGTAATTTTATGTGCTCATGTTTATAATTTTAGTGCTTTAACTTAATCTTATTTCAATTACTGCCCAAGGCAAGTTTCGCTTAGTTTTTCCATCTAA